CATATCTTAATAGCCCAAATAAGATTTGAAAAGATCATATTCCATGTGGTTTGTGATGCTCACATTGTTATGGAAAATCAGACATATTTTGCATATACGGATTTGCCTTTTGCCTGCAGTCTCAATGTATCCCTAGCCTAAGTTTTCTGAAGCCAACTGATATTTACTGAAAATCTTACCTGACAGCCAACATTCACTTAGGAGCTTAGGAGATAAACAAAATCTTCTTCTAAAAAAAATCATACAGCTTGTGAAATAATTTTATTTTTTTGCCAAACTATCTCTTTAAACTAGTTAAGAAGCTAGGTTTTTATAACATTTAAAAGTGTCCAGTTTTTTTAATGTTCAGAGAACTTTAAGAAATAAATTTCCCATAACTAGAACATTAGCATACGTTCTTCTGAGGTTCAGACTAAGGTTGCATTGCAAAACATCAGACCTGTATCTGATTTAGGACCACATATCTTAATAGCCCAAATAAGATTTGAAAAGATCATATTCCATGTGGTTTGTGATGCTCACATTGTTATGGAAAATCAGACATATTTTGCATATACGGATTTGCCTTTTGCCTGCAGTATCCCTGTATCCCTAGCCTAAGTTTTCTGAAGCCAACTGATATTTACTGAAAATCTTACCTGACAGCCAACATTCACTTAGGAGATAAACAAAATCTCCTTCTAAAAAAAATCATACAGCTTGTGAAATAATTTTCTTTTTTTGCCAAACTATCTCTTTAAACTAGTTAAGAAGCTAGGTGGGAACACCAGTACACATCCCAAGTTGGGGATGAGTATCCAAACACCACATATCTGTTTCACTGCCAAAGTGAAGCTATTTTGGCCCGACGCTTTCATTGCGCAAACCAGACAGTGACATTCGTACTGGAGGGGCAGCAGTGTTAAATATCATCTCCTGCAGTGCAGTCAGCATCACATCAACGTGCAGGGAAAGAAAAAATGTTAATGCCGCCCGCGCTATTTACACAACCTTCGGCAGAGCCGCTTCGCATCGGAGCGGTAAAAACAGAAACCACACGTTTTAATTAATCGTCAACCAAACGAGACAGCAATAAACAGGGTTTGCTGCGGAGGTGCATTCGTAGGTGCAGGAGGTGAGGAGACGAGGGAGAAGTGGAGGAGGAGAGCAGCGCCGGTTAATTACCCAACCATACCCGGGTAAGTTGGGAGCGCTTTGTTCGGCGTTTGAATGACAAAGAAGATGACAGAGGCAGAGGCTCTGGAGAGGCGGCGATCGAATCGGCTGCTTAATAATTGATCTACGAAAGCAGGAGCTTGTTTTGTGGAGATGAGAGCACACCGCCTCATCTGATCCCCGAGCCGCTGGAATCAGAGGGATTGTTTTTGTAATATGCCACCGAATAAGCAGATCAATGCTCTTTTAGCGAGCACAAACATCTCACGACCGAGCCTTACCACAGTGAATTAAAAGCTTCACACTTGTACACACAACACATGGAAAACCACACGCGTTCCCCTTTGCTAAATCAGCTGGAACTAAATTTACATTTTGCACTGCTCAATATGGCGTCAGATAGATTAGACAACATTTTCATCATCATTGAAAGCCCAGACCTACATTAAATGGGTTCTTTTTTTTGCTCCGTCTCACTTTTTCTCTTTCGGTTCGCCTTCTAAACCGTAATGAAGTCAGTTTAAACAGCTATATTCATTTCCTTAATGAGGGAAAGGTCCTTTAATGCTTTTCTCCAGTGAGGCAGAGGCTGTGTGGGCGCTAATAAACACAACTCACAAAAACAACATCTCTTAAGCGAGTATCTGAGGCCTTCGCTAATTTTTTGTTAGCATTTAATTATACTTCAGCATTATGACTGACATTATTAGCGCTCTCTCTGGGAGGATGTAATTGAAAGTAATTTTACATTAAAGCTAAGTCTGAAGTGCTCTCGTGAATAAAAAAACATCCAATGCGATGTTTTGGACGTTAATGTCATTGGCGATCAGAGGCGGACTTAACCATTAGGCAAAGGCAGGCGACCGCCTTGGGCCCCCAAAAGCAAAGGGCCCCCTAAAATTCTTTTTATATGCGAGATGCGCGTTCAGTGCGGACGCGCAAGTGGTTGCTGTGGTGTTCATTACCACGACAACCGTCTGTGCGTCCGCGCTGAACGTGCTTCTTAGCAAAAGTAGGGCGATGTAGAAAATGGGGACGGAATCCCGGAATCTATTCATAAAAACGGAATTTACTGTGTAACGCGGAATGTGACGGAATGAACGGCGCAGCCGCGCGTTTCGTTTGTTAGTTTGCTATTTAAGCACCTGCAACGCTCTCGGTTGTCGTCTGTAGTAGCTAAATAGTATTTTTGCCATTTAATATTCACATACATTAGTCCATATCGCGTTTTGATTGAAGTGTAGGCCTACTGAATTGCATTTGATTTATTCATTCAATATTTGACGAATTCCGTGACATTGCTCGTTACACAGTAAAC